GGGGGGGGGGGGGGTTAAATCAATATCGATTTCTCCACACTTTGGTGTCATTGGCATATCTTTAGCAATTCGTTTGCCTATTTGTTTGGCAGATCGCCTTATCTATAGAATTCTGCATTTTTTCTTTTGAATATTCGTGTCTCAATTGACATGCTTGGAACAAATATGTGTTCAATTATTTTTCAAAAAGCTTAACTAGTTGGCGTATCTGCTGAATGATGGTGAATCATTTACATTCAATCAGTCCACTGTGCTTCAATCCCAAATAAGATCTGGTCCGGTGGTATCTAATGATTCTTATTTGGACCATGGTAATTTTGTAGGGTACCACTCGTCCTACACACTACCATGTCTTGTATGATGAAATTGGTTTCTCGCCTGATGATCTTCAAGAGCTTGTTCATAATCTATCTTATGTGTAAGTACTGCATTAAGTATCTCCGAGTTGTATTCACAGCATCTGTTAGTTTTAATCAAGAATCAATTGTCTAATGTTGCTATATATAACAACTTTTTTGCATCATCCTTGCAGCTACCAAAGGAGCACAACTGCAATATCTGTTGGTAAGTGTCATTCTGTTGGCGAAAAACAGTAGTGCCAAATACGTTTTCTGGATAAAGAACTTTATCTTATTAAATAATCTACACTTCTCCCTTTTGTTTTTCTATTTGCACTCATTATTTGTCCATATGCAGTTGCTCCCATCTGTTACGCTCATCTGGCTGCCACTCAGATGGGACAGTGGATGAAGTTTGAGGATACATCAGAGACGTCCTCAAGCCGCGGGGGAGTTACAAATGCTGGTCCAGTTACCGTTCCCCAGCTCCCAAAGCTCGAGGAAAAAGTTTCCAGTTCCATGTTCTTTTGTTGAGGCTTTGTACTAGCCTCCTGCTTGCTTTTAACATCTGTGGTTAATGGATGTTTGGTTGTTTGTGAATAGTTTCGGTTTAAAACTCCAAGTGGTAGTCGAACAATTTAGGTGATATTACTCTGCCGTGTTTTGGTCTTTTGTCTGGGACCATGTTGAAATCCCCATGACATCTTTTGGCTTTAGGGTACCTGCTACTTAAGCTATTTTGGATGATGCACCTCTGTTTGTTTGGGGGTTTAGCTGGCAATGACCATGTTTGGACATAGTTTGTGTTTATGATAATTTCTCGGATCTTGGTAAGCTGAAGATTATGCACTTGTTTCTTTATGAGCTTGCTTTTTGCATGACTTGCAAATACGATGGGAGGATTTCTCAAAAATGTTGTCGCACTTGTGTTGGATCATAAAAAAATGCATTATATGTGGAGGATCCGACACTGCACTTGGCAATATTTTTGAAAGTTTGAGCATATAAAGCATGATTACTTTGGCCTCAGCGATGTTATTACTGCACCTTCCAAAGAAAGCACTAAATATTCCAAAGGAAGTACTATGTGACTCATCAAATGAAACATTCAAGGCTGATCCTTGTCATTTTCTAGGCCATTTCAAACCTTCATATTAACTGGAAAAAGAATTACTCACTTATTAGGAGATGGTTTTGGAAATTACTCATCTAGCATGACAAGTGGTTGGGTCAAACTCCCACTTCTTTAAAGATTCAGACATATTCAGTTTGACAACATTTCCTAATGCAACAATGGCTGCCAACAGAGAGTGATACATGGAACCTCTCTTTTCTCCTAACCCATAACTCAGTTTTAGTTACTAGGTCTGCTATAAATATTTATACATATTTAATGGATTTTCTAATATAAATACAGCGTCTAGGCAAATATGATTTTGAATGTTTGATTAAAAAAGAATCTCTGTGGAAGGAAGTTGTTATGTGCAAATATGGCATGGAAGGTTATTGGAGCACAAAAATGACAAGACAACTATTTGGAAGAACATTAACAAGCTATGGCCGGAGTTATGAGAAAAATTACACACAAATTAGGAGATGCTTTAGGGAGAACTTCTGATGCAAAATGGAACTTGCAAATGAACCTGGATCAGATTCCTACATGTTTAGAATGGGATATATATTTTAGGTAAGTAGGTTGTCTACGTCATATCACTCGAGATGCGAACCTTTCCTGACTATGCGTAAACACGGAATACGTTAGCCAATATATTACATACTAGATTCGCCATGAAGAATTACACTTTTTTCTTTAATCAGTGTCAATCTTCCCATGTAAGTAACTGGTTTAGGGAAAGAAACTTTTGGTTGGTATCGGTATCAAGTTGTTGGAGGTTATTTTGGACTAAGAAGTTTGACTGTCCTGTTGGGGCTCAATATGTGCAACAATATGTCATGTGTTATAAAATAAAAGTAATTAGTTCTATTACTTGAACAAGAAATAGAGAGAGAATGAAATTTTTTTCTTCTTCCATTTCTATTGTGTGCTTTTACCCATTTTACAAAGCCTTTATATAAGTATGAAAAGTGAAGAATCACTATTGTAAAATAGTGAGAGGAATGACTACTATATATTAAATGTAATAGGGCTCAGCATGGGCAACCATATGTATTAACACTCCCCCTTGTATGTCCATGTTAAAAATAAAAATTTCAAGTGAAAGGAAAAAAGCACGTTGTTATTTGTTATACGCATTGCTTGTTGCCTCGTTAAAAACCTTAGTAGGAAAATGCGGTGGGACAAAACCTTGTTTATGCGGTGGGACACTCCCCCGATAAAAATATCACATAATGTCTCGAAGACGACACATTCCAATCTTGTATATCAGCTTTTCAAATGTTGAGGTTGGTAATGCCTTAGTGAACAGATCCGCCAAATTATCATTTGAACGAACTTGTGGAACATCTATTTCACCATTCTTTTGAAGATCATGAATAAAAAAGAATTTCGGTGAAAAGTATTTTGTTCTATCTCCTTTGATGTATCCTCCTTTTAGTTGAGCTATGCATACAATATTGTTGGAGTATTCCCTTTCGAAGAAAGACGATATGTTTCCTGTATGTGTTGAGTTATCGATCTCAACCAAACGCATTCTCGGCTCGCTTCGTGAATGCATATTATCTCTGCATTATTTGTCGAAGTGGAAACCATAGTTTGTTTTGTTGAATGCCATGATATAGTTGTACCTCCACATGTAAATAAATAGCATGTCTGAGATTGACCTTTACGAGGATCAAACAATTATCTTGGATCTGCATAACCAATCAATAATGACTTGGATTCATTTGAATAAAATAAACTTATATCAATGGTCCCTAGGAGGTATCTGAATATATGTTTAATATCATTCCAGTGTCTTTGTGTTGGAGAAGAACTAAATCTTGCTAACAAGTTTATTGAGAAAGCTATATTTGGTCGAGAATTTACATTAATGCTCCAATTGCACTAAGATATGATATTTCGGCACCAAGAAGCTCGTCATCATTTTCGTGAGGTAGGAATGGATCTTTCTTTATATCAAGTGATCTTACAACCATCGGGGTACTCAATGATGTGCTTTATCCATATAGAATCGCTTTAAGATCTTTTCAGTGTCTGTTGATTGATGGACAAATATTTCATCTTTTATATACTCAATTTGTATACCAAGACAAAATCTTGTCTTTCCAAGATCTTTCATTTCAAATTCTTTTTTCAAACAATCTAATGCTTTTGGAAGCTCCCCTTGAGTTCCAATAATATTTAAATCATCAACATACATAGCGATTATAAGATTCAAACCTTTTTATAACGACACAATGACAAATTGGATCATTCTTGTACCCATCTTTTAATAGGTATTCACTTAGGCAATTGTACAACATACGCCCTGATTGTTTTGATTCATATAAGGATTTCTGAAACTTTATTGAATAAGTTCACGAAAACTTTTATATGCTTAGGTTATGAAAATTTTGTTGTCTCTAATGATCCATACAAATAGGTTATGATAAATTTATTAGACGCATATAAAGTTTTTCATGCACTGCTACATTTATGAGATACCTGAAGGTGATAGCGTCCACCACAGGAGAATATGTCTCCATATAATCAATGTCAGGTCTTTGCGAAACCCCTTGTGCCACAAGTCGCGCTTTATATCTAACGACTATTTTTTTGTCATTTCGTTTTCGCATAAAAATCCATTTGTACCCTACTGGATTTATACTTTCAGGTGTTCAAACTATATGTCCGAAGACTTTACTTTTTCAAGTGAAGTTAATTCTGCCTCGATAGCTTCTTTCCAATTTGGCCAGTCATTTCTTAGTCTGTATTCATCCATAGATTTTGGTTCGAGATCCTCATCTTGTTGCAGGATTTCAACATTTTGATTTCAACATCCTGTAGAGATACATTTTCAGGTACTTGCACCTCTCCTGAAGTCTTATTATTTGTTATGTCTCGGAGCTCTTCTTGATCCATTACCTCTGTATTATGATCACCTTGATCATTTGCTCCTTTCCTTCTTTGAGGATTTTTATCTTTAGAATTAATTGGTCTACCACGTTCAAGCATGGCTTAGACTCATTTGCATTAGTTGACTGTTTTATTAGGACATCAAGTCGACTTGGAGCATTAGTAGCTACAATATGTGACTTAGTCACTCTTAGTAGGTCAGTGAATACATTTGGTAATTGATTTACAATACTTTGCAAATAAATTATTTTCTAAACCTCTTATTCATATTGATTTATTCGAGGATCTAAATCAGATAGTGATAATGCATTCTAATCTATCTCTTTTTTCAATTGTTTATTTTCTCTCCCTAGCGTTGTGGTGGAGCAATTGGAACATATACCGCACAACCAATAATTTTAAAATAAAAAATATTTGACTCTTGACCGAACGCCAATTGTAATAGAGGGACTTTATGATAACTTGCGGGCATTATCCGTACAAGTACTGTTGCATGTAAAATAGCACGACCCCATACTAACATAGAAAATTTTGTTCTCATAAATATTGGTTTAGCAATCAATTGGAGACATTTAATCATTGATTCAACTAGATCATTCTGAGTATGAACATGAGCAACCAGATGCTCAATTTTTATCCAGTTGATATACAATAGTCGTTAAAGACTTGGAATGTACATTTACTAGCATTATCAAGATGAATTGTATTAATTGCATAATCTGGAAAATATGCTCTTAACCTTATTATTTGAGTCAACAATTCTGCAAATGTCATGTTGCGAGTTGATAACAAGCACACATGTGGCCATCTTGTAGATGCATCTATCAAAACCATATAATACTTGAGTGATCCACATGGAGGGTATATGAGCCCACATATATCACCCCGTATACGTTCCAGAATGTAGGGGATTCAATCCCAACCTTAGTTGTTGATGGTTTAATAATCAATTTTCCTTGAGAACAAGCGGCACAAGAGAATTCTTTGGATTGAAGAATCTTATAATTCTTCAATTTGTGCCCATGTGAATTCTCAATTATTTTGCGCATTATATTAGGACCAGAATGGCCAAATCGGTCATGCCAAATGATAAAATCATTAGAACGAGTAAACTTCTTGTTTACTATGGCATGTGATTCAACCACACTAATACTTGCATGAGCCTTTTTCATAATCAAATAAGAAAATATTTCTTTTCTCTTAGTATTGTGTGAGTTTTAGCACTATCCAAAATGCATATATCTTTATTACTCATCTTGTATCCAATTGAATACTAGAAATTTTATTTTCTGAAATAAAAATTCAAATCTACTTGAAAATGATTAGAGATTCGTGTTGATAACGTGTTATAAAATAAAAGTGATTTACTATAACGTAAACAAGAAAGAAAGATAGAAATAAGAAGTTTTTCTTCTTCAATTGTATACTTTTACCCATTTATTACAAAACCTTTATATAAACATGAAACGTGAAGAATCACTATTGTAAAATAGTGAGAAAATTGACTACTACACAATAAATTTAACAGGGCTCAGCATGGACATCCATATCTATAGTATTTTCCAACATTATGGATATTCTTGTTGAAAAGATGCTTCTTTCTCCTTATTCTTATTCTTATTTGTATTTATACTTTTTTTTTTGTCCTTGTTCCTTGACGTGCTTTTTTTCTTTTCCCTTCTTAGCTTTCTTCTCCAAATCCACCTTTTTTGTGTTGCATACTAATTCCTCATGATCTTGAAGGCAACACTACTGACAACAATATAGGTTTCATATCAAATTTTATTGAAATTGTTGTGAGTTAAAAATCTATATGAAAATATTGTATTAAGATGAACGTGATGACATGTCTTGTCAATTTATATTTCAACTCTAATTTTTACTATATTGCTTCTTCTACTGATTTATCTCATTATAATAATAACATTACAAATTCTGATAATCTCAAGGCCCTAATTAATCACGCTCGAGCGTGAAATTTTGGATAAAAATTTCTAAGTAAAACTTAACTATAGTGAACCAAGAAACAGTAATGTATATTTATGGCGCACCATTTGATCGGACATGTATTAGAAAATTGAACACATGAAATGATGCAAAAGTTTCGTAAGATACATATACACATATCACCGACCAGAGGCGGATCCAGGATTTTGACAAGATGGGTGCACTATTAAGAAGGGGTAGATCCAGGATATAGGTTTTACATGTTCAACATTTAGTTCTTACAATTGCTCACCCGTTACATTTTTGAATTATAAGTTAAAAATTAAAATTTAAAAAAAAATATTTTTCTTGCATCGATATCTATTATCCATTTTGAAAATGTCGGGATCAGTTGAAACCATTGACTATATGCTACATCATACATTGTTACTTCTTTTAATATACATATTTTATTTAATCATATAAGATTTACGGTGACAAAAGAAGAATAGGAATTTTAATGTATGAAAATTTTGAAAGAATAAATCAAACAAAAAAAGAAATAAAAGAAAAAGTACTTAATTAATACGCAAAAAGTAACACCAGACATGCTCATCTCCCGTGGGCGTCTAGTTCTAGGAGAACAAAAGAAAAAACAACAAGATTGATATAATATTTGACCTTGCAACCTCAGTTAGAGAGGTAGACCCAGTACCTATCACATCATATAATACTTTGAGCATGGGTGCACATACATATATTAAAGTATTTTTTAAAAAAGTATAACATTACTATACATGATTTAGGGAGGAGAGCATAGGTTCACGTGGCCCATGAACCCCCCCCCCCCCCC